TAAATTATAGGGAGGAAATGTTTTCTTTCAGGGTTTTTTTTTGGGGGTGTGTGTGTTAAAGACAAGGTTTCTCTGTGTAACAGTCCTGGGTGTCCTGGAACTCACTTTTGTAGATTAGGCTGGCCTCACACTCACAGAGATCCGCCTGCCTCTGTCTCCCAAGTGCTGGGATTAGAGGCATGCGCCACCACCATGTGGCCACTGTTGTTTTTTTAAAAGAGGTAAATAGTCAAGAAAGTAAGCTATTGGGCAGTACTCATAGGAAGACAAGAAGACAGGGAAAAAGGGCAAAATACACACAAAGTACTGCAAGACACACAGACCATAAACTCCTCCTCGGTTGTCAGTGTGTACTCTGGAGACAGACTCCAGTCCACTCTTTTTATATGACAGCTCTCCAAAATGAACTATATTTCAAATTATTGCTGTAAGGACTAGAGCAGTGGTTCTCAACCTTTGTAATGTAGTGACCCTTTAATACAATTCCTCATAAAATTATTTTCATTGCTATTTCATAACTGTAATTTTGCTGTTATTAATCGTAATGTAAATATCTGATAAGCATGATATCTGATATTCCACCCCTATGAAAGGACTTTCCACCCTCAAAGGGGTCGAGGCCAACAGTTGAGAACTGCTGGACTAGTGGATCTTAAATCATTGATGAAAATTAACCGTTTTCTCTGTCTTCTAGGTAGTAATGCTTTAGTGCCAAATACACTTTAGAGAACTAAAAGGATGCTCTATCAGCCAGACAATTCAATTAACTGGAGCCAACACCGGGCAGAGCTTTTAGCACTAAGGAAGCACTTTAGAGCTATTATTTCTGTCGGCACACGTGGCCCAAGTACCACATTAGTGTTTTATAAGTGTTTCTCATTGAATTGTGACAATTTCTGTAATAAAACTGGGGCTTGAGAGAGACTGGCAAGTGACTGAACAGGAATGTGAACTGGGCCTGACTACAAAGCCAGGCTCTCAACTGCTGATGATAACAGAATATTCTATCTGAATGACACATTATTTGACACCTCTGTCAACAGGTTTTACTTTTGTGCACAGCCCATCATAAAAACACCAAAATATTTTCAAGTGGCAACACTGTAAATTAGGAAAAATACAAAACTATTTAAAATAGATAATTTGTGTTGGGCACAGTGGCATACATTTAATCCCAGCACTAGGAGATTCTCTGGCAAGAGGGTCTAGTCCAGGGCTGCACAGTGAGACATGCCATAAACAAACACTTTATACAATAATTGAACTCAAGAAATATAAGAAAGCTTCCTAAGTAACTGTCCCATTAATTCTCAGTTATTTCTGCAGAAAGACTGACCACACTCTGTCTTGGCAAGCTCCAATACTCGTTCATTCCTTTGCACAGTCTTCCTGCCGAGAAAGCCTTCCCCAGTCTGTCTACCTGGCAAACACGTTCTTCTTTTGAACCCTCCAAGTGTACTCTGTGAAGTTCCCAAGCAGAAACTTAAATGCTCTCTCTTCTGCACTGCACTATGTTCTTTTGAACTGTTTTTATGTAAGTTTTAAGTAAGACACCACAATTACCGGTTTTTACACCCACTTTCTGCCAAGACTGAAAGATGTGCAAAGGTATGTGTCTACTGAAGAGTGCAGGACAACAAAGGCTACTATTTAACCAATTAACATAAATCAATAAATTTAAGTAAGTATCTTTATTAAAATCTTTGTGGAAGCCAGGAGTGGTGGTGCACACCTTTAATCCTAGTTCCCAGAGGCAGAGGTAGTGCAAGTAAATCTCTGTGAGTTTGAGGCCAGCTTGGTCTACATAGTGAGTTCCAGGACAGCTAGGACTACATAGACACCATGATGAAAACCAAACCAAACCAAAAACAACAACAAAGCCCATAGCTCTCAGACAGGTAGAATAGAACTGTTCATTCTTTTTTTGTTTTATCTTGGTTTTTCGAGACAGGGTTTCTCTGTGAAACAGCCCAGGCTGGCCTTGAACTCAGAGAGACCCACCTGCCTCTGCCTCCCAAACACTGGGATTAATGGGGTGCGCCAAAACCGCCCAGCTCATTTTCTAAGTAAACACAATGTATAAACATTGTGGTAGATAACTCAGGGGACATAAAGAATAAGAGTTTCATTTTATGGGATCTCAAGGAAGGGAAGGACAGATACAGATTTATAGTTGTTTCAACATCTGGCTCAATAAATACTTTAACAGAAATAAGAAGGTGGCTGGGAGTGGCAGCACATGCTTCTACTCCTAGCACTTAGGAGTTGGAGTCAGGAGGATCAATAATTCAACTGATTCTCTTTATACAGTGAGCTCATCTAGCTTGTGCTAGAAGATACCCTGTCTAAAAAACAAACAAAAACCCACAGCAAACACACCACAAAAAGGGAAAGTAAGACAAGAGGGGCAAGAGGAGGATGAAAAGTGGTCCAAGGCAAGAGGGAGGCAGAAGAGAAAATAAGGGAGGAAGTAATTATGTGCTGTGGAAACACTCGGAGGGTCTGACATCACTTAAGCTGCACCTTGATGAATGGGTAGAAAAGGACATCTCACAGAGTACAACAAGCAAAATGGTAAGAAATGTAAGAAAACCAAGAACTGTATGCTGGGCGGTGGTGGTGCACGCCTTTGATGCCAGCACTCAGGAGGCAGAGGCAGGCAGATCTCTGAGTTCGAGGCCAGTCAGGGCTACACAGAGAAACTCTGTCTCGACAAAAACAACAACAAAAAGAATCGTAAAAGCTTCAAACACACACAAAAAACAAAACAATCCCAAGTATTTTTGTGTGTGTGTGTGTGTGTGTGTGTGTGTGTGTGTGTGTGTGTGTGTGTGTGTGTGTGTGTTATTGGTGTGTTTATCTCTATACTCTCCTAGCTAAAATTTCTAGTGATAGACTCATCTACTGTCAGTCTTTAGGTAAATTAACCCATCGACAAAGGACTCTATCAATCATTAAAAGACACTGAATCTTATTTAACTACACAAAGTAACCATTGAGTAAGCTTGATATTAGATTTTAGAATTATTCTAAAATAGATAAACACAATAACACAGAAAAGGAAATAATGACAGCAGTTGATATCAACTTAGTGCCATATACTCTAAGATGCTTTCCCATCTTAGACTCTGAGATAGTGTATTATTTTTTTTTTTTTTTTTTTTGGTTTTTCGAGACAGGGTTTCTCTGTGTAGCTTTGCGCCTTTTCCTGGAACTCACTTGGTAGCCCAGGCTGGCCTCGAACTCACAGAGATCCGCCTGGCTCTGCCTCCCGAGTGCTGGGATTAAAGGCGTGCGCCACCACCGCCCGGCGAGATAGTGTATTATTAAAAGCCTTTTATACATGAAGAAACTCATCATAAAAAGGTGAAGTATGCTATCGCAGGTAGCAAAGTAAGTGACAGAGTCAGAGTCAGAACTCTTGCTCCAGGGCCTGGATTTCTAACTATCTTTTAGTGGACAGACAGACACAGACACACACACACCCCCCTCACTCTCTCTCCTGTCATAATTTAAATACAGTATATAAGTAATTTTTGTTCTTGAAATTTTTTTCTATATTATACAATACTGACTTAAAAACATTAAAAAAATTAAATTGCAGCTAGGCATGGTACCGCATGCCTTTAATCCCAGCACTCAGGAGGCAGAGGCAGGTGATCTCTGAGCTTGAAGCTAGCCTACAGAGTGAGTTCTTGGACAGCCAGAGATACACAGTGAGACTTTCATCTCCAAAAAGCAGAAACAAAATTAAATTGTGTTAAAATACATATAGCATCTTAACCATTTTTATGAACAGCAGTAGTGTTAAGTACACTCATATTGATGTGCAACAAATGTCTAGAACATTTTTATTTTGCAAAACTTAAACTCTATACCTATTAAAACAGCCACTCCTCATCTTCCTGGCAACAATTATTTAATTTGTGTTTACAAGTCTGACTACCTTAAGTAATAGCAGTGACTTTAAAAAATGTATTATGTGAATGGGTGTTCTGCATGCATGGACGTGTATCACTTTTGTGCCTGATGCTCTCAGGGTTACAGATGGTTGTGAGCTGTCACAGGAGTCCTGGAAATTGAACCTAGGTCCTCTGGAAGAGTAACCAGTGCTCTTAAGTGCTGAGCCATCCCTCTAGCCCTCCTTTCCTTCCTATATACATCTTTGTCTCTCAGTTACTAGTGTTACAGGAGGGTCACCAAACCCCTTAGACTTTTAGGTGGTTGCAGGTAACCCAAATTGCTTTAGTCCATCTTGTTTTAAAACTATTTTTATTTTTTTGGTTTTTTTCAAAACAGGGTTTCTCTGTGTAACAGCCCTAGATCTCCTAGAACTCGCTCTGTAGATCAGGCTGGCCTTGAACTTAGAGATTTCCCTACCTCTGCCTCTATTCTTACAGTATTTTGAAAATATTAAGCTGTCCTCTAAAGGGTTACACAAATGACAAAGTCTATTCTGTTTCAAAATGATGGACCAGCAATGTGGCTTATGTGATAAAGCATCTTGCCTAGCCCTCCTCAGGACTCAGGTTAAATGCTCAGCACTATGAGAAAATGAACAAAGAAACCTACCCTGTAATTTTCAAAACCAAGATAAATAGTATAGAAAAACAGAAAATAGTATTAGCCTCTGAGGACTTTTAGTAAAGTTTTAAAGAATGTTTTGATAATGAACTGTATTAACAAGAGGCACTTTTTACAAGTAAGTGTGTGAAGGCACACAACTGTAATCCCAGTACTTAGAAATTAGAGGCAAGAGGCTGAATAAGATATTTGAATCAATGAATTAAAAGAAAATATACCTTGTTATAGTAAAAGTTTTTTTATGAAGATCAATGAGAAATCAATACACAACCTTAAAACATTTTTACAGCAATTGCATACAATAAATTCAAGCAAGAATATATAACTTTTAAAAATAAAGGACAAAATTAAACCATTAAAAAACATTATGCATAAATATCACAAACATATCCTGAGAGTTTGGGGAAAGTACTAACCAGTTACTGCCAGCAGCTGTGAAACTCTCACCTCCATTTCCTCCCGGTGAGACCTGTCTCTATCCTCAAATTCACGAGTTCTTCTTCGAGCCTCTTCGAAGGCCTGTTGTGCTAATGCATCTTCCTGCTGTCAGGGTACATGAAATAATTATTTTAATTTTGATTTATGTAAAAAATTAAATTTTGGGATTTTTTTAAAAAAGGAGACCAACTGAAGAGTAATTCTGAAAATACTAATACCAATCCCCCATCCTACCTAACTTCAGAGGTACTTTTACTTTATTTTGGAGTCAGGGTCTCATTATACCCTTGGCTGTTCTGAAATATGATCCTCCTGCCTTAGTGCTGAGATTATGGACGTGTGCCACCACATTCTAATAAGAATCTGAGCCATCTTTGACTTGTAACCCCTTCCTTACCTCCATACACTGGTTTAGCATACTACCTATTTGCTTCTTATTGGAATCTTTAGTCTTCCCTTCATTTCTATAAACATTTTCTTGATTTGGAACCCAAAAGCTCTTAGCTGGAGAAGTCTCCCAAAGACTGCTCCTGGTCCCTTCTGTTACTGCACCCCACTCCTCTCTCTGCCATCCATGTATATCTAAAGCACAATGTGATCACAATGACTCTTAATTTTAAAAGCTCCCTCACTGCCTACATTCCTCAGCTTAAAAGTTTCAACTTTTGCCAGTCACATACCACTTAGTATGCATGCTATATTTTTGATGGTACATCTGCAGAAACTAAAAGATCCAGAACAATACCAAAAAAAGCTATCAATGTTCATTTTCCTAGAATCAGTACAAAGGCCGGTCATGTGACTTCTGCCAATCAGATTAACAGCACAAGGCACCTAATAAGGTTTCCAAGAAGGCTATATAAGAGAAATTTCAGGCTGGAGAGATGGTTCAGTGGTTAGAGCACTGGCTGCTCTTCCAGAGAACCTGGGTTCATTTCCCAGTACCCACATGGCAACTCACAACTGCCCGTTATTCTAGTTCTGGGGAGCCCGATGCCCTCACACAGGCAAAAGTGTAAGCAAAACCCAATGCAAATAAAATTTTAAAAAATCATAAAGAGAAATTTCACCATTCTTCCTTCCTGGGAACTGACACAATGTTCAGAGACTTAGCCATCTGGCAAATTTGAGGCTAGAGCTGCAGGTTAGCATCAACAGGAAGAGGAAAGGACCTGGGCCTCTGATAATATAATAAATGCTATACCAGGTCTGACTATGCTAGATATCTTGCTGTGTGCAAAAAATTATTTGTCACTGTTATAACATTAATATTTATAAGTTTCAGCTGGGCCATGGTACGTACGTCTTTAATCCCAGCACTCAGGAGGCAGAGGCAGGCAGATTTCTGTGAGTTCAAGGCCAGCCTGGTCTACAGAGTGAGTTCCGGATAGCCAGGACTGTTATACAGAAAAACCCTGTCTCAAAAAACCCAAACCAAACCAAACCACCACCACCACCACCACCACCACCACCACCACCACCACCACAAAAAAAAAAAAGAGAGAGAGAGAGAAAGAAAGAAAAAGAAAAAAGTTGTAATTTTTCATTTGCAGTATCTATAGTTTAAAGGTATGATCGTATGATCAAATTCCCATACTTGGGGCTGGGGATAGAACTTAGTGGTGGAACATTTGTCTAGCAAGCACAAGGCTCCAGGTCCAATTTCTAGCACTTAGGAGTGAGAAAACACATTCTTTTTTCTTTCCTAAAGTTTTATGTATATGGGTGTTTTGCCTGCATATATGTCTGTGCACTACTTGTGTGCCTGGTGCCTGTGGAAGCCAAAAGAGGGCACTGGATTCCCCTGGTATAGGAGTACTCAGTTGTGAGTTGCTATATGGGTGCTGAGAATTGAAACTGGGTTCTCTAGAAAAGAAGCCAGTTTCTCTTAACTGCTGAGCCATCTCTCTAGCCCCTAAACACATTTTTATGATATACCTGCTAGTGTTAGGACCCAAGGCAAGATACTTAATTTCTCTAAGCCTCATTAAATTCATATAAAATATGGGCATAGTAATATTTCACATCTTTGTTACGATTAAACAAGACAACACTGTCTTAGTTAGGGTTTCTATTACTACGAAGGGACACCATGACCAAGGCAACTTTTATAAGGGGAAACAGTTAATTGAGGCTAGCTTACAGTTCAGAGATTTAGTCCATTATCATCATGGCAGGTGTCATGCAGGCAGACATGGTGCTGGACAAGGAGCTGAGAGTTCTATATCTTGATCCGAAGGCAGCAGAAGGAGAGTCTGTGTCCCACATACATAGCTTGAGCATATGAGACCTCAAAGCCCACCTCCACAGAGACACACCTCCTCCAATGAGGCCACACCTCCTAATAGTGCCACACTCTATAGGCCAACTACTCAAACACATGAGTCTATGGGGGCTATTCAAACTACTACAACCACTAAATATACTTAAGACAGTATTCAGTAAGTGCTTTAAGTTACAAGCACTTGTGGATATATAAAAGCCACATACTTAACTAAACATTACTCATGTCTACTATACTTCCAGAATATTCTATACAAGCCTGAGGTACCTAGAAAAGAATGTCGTCCATTCCTAAGGCATTCTATTACCAGTGAGGTATCAACTGGGACACACCTGCTAATGACAAGGTATCCCTTCTGTTACATTCATTTACTTACTTTTTTCCTCAAAATTTATTACATTTAGTGTATGTGCACACATTTGTGCACACATGTGTACACACATTGCAACTTAGATATAGAGGCGAGAGAACAACCTGCAGGGGCTGGTTCTCTCCTCCCACCATGTGGGGCTTAGGAATCGAACTCAGGTCACCAGGCCTGGTGACAAATGCTTTCACCCTATGCCACTTCACTGTCCCGTATTCACCTTTTCACTTATTTCACAAGTATTTGCTTAGCTTTTTTGTTTGTTTTTTGATTTTTTTTTCTTAAGATTTATTTACTTATGTATACAGTGTTCTGCCTGCATATATTCCTGTATGTCAGAAGAGGGCATCAGATCTCATTATAGTTGGTTGTGAGCCACCATGTGGTTACTGGGAATTGAACTCAGGATCTCTGGAAGAGCAGCCAGTGCTCTTAACCTCTGAGCCATCTCTCCAGTCCCCTTGCTTAGCTTTTATTACGGGCAGGCCATTGTGCTTAGTGCCATGAATAGAACATGAGGCAATACTGTTTTTTCTCAGATAGCTGCTGGGGTTGGTAGCCAAAAAACAAAAAGAAAAAACCAAAAAAAAAAAAAAAATCAAAAAGCCTAATTAACAAATCAACATAGTTATCAACTATGATTATGTACAACAGGGGGAATTAGGATAAAATGAGAGTGTACACAAGCTGTGACCTAATTCCCTAAGAAAGTTATTGGACACTGTGTGCTCTAGAAATGGGCATAAAGTTTCCCCATGAAATGACTGAAAAGTACTACGAATTGCTGCAGAAAAATGAGCCAGGAAAGATTTAGTAGTCCTCTATTTCCTAGTTCCAATTTCTGTCATGGTCTTTTCGGGTGACAATTGAGATGCATGCGGAGTGAATAGAATTCTCACTCTTAACAAATGGCAAAATGGGAAAGCTGATAGGCCATTACCAGTGTCATCCTCATCCTTTAACACTTTCCTTTTAAGGATACTACTTGCTAATAAAATTACCTGCTCACCCATGAAAGGAGACTAATGGCTAAAGACATTAACTTTATCCAGCCTCAGGCAATGGTTAGAGGAATTTGCAAAATTTTACTCTCCTGGGCCATGTGTCATACTAACTTACTATTCTATATGAAAACATGCATATAACAGCCAGATGGGGTCAACACAACAAAGTTGGAGTGGGCCACTGTGGCATGTACCTGTAACCCACCATGTGGGAAGCTGAGGCAGAAGGATCACCTGAGTTGTGGAGTCTGAACAGTATCAAGAGTCTTCAGAAAACAACAAGTCAAGAATAGAGAGATGACAGACAGCACTGGCTGCCCTTCCAGAAGACCCAGGTTTGAGCCCCAGCGCCCACACGGCAGCTCACAACTGTCTGTAACTCCAGTTCCAGACATGTGATGTCCTTTCTGGTCTCTGTGAGCACAAGACACGCATAGTGCACAAATATACACACAGGCAAAATATCCTTACACATAGACAATAAAAGTCTCACACAAACACACAAAAAGTAGGCTAGAGAAATGGCTCAGCAGTTAAACTACCTGCTGTGCAAACAAGAAGACTAGAGCACACCTAAAAAGCTGGGTATAGCATAGCACATCTGCCAATCTTAGCTTCAGGGAGTGGAGACAGGTGGATGTCTGAAGTTCACAGCACAGCCAATCTATCCAAATTGGTGAATTTCAGGTTTTATGAGAGACAGTTTCAAAAAACAAGGTAGAGAACAATAATGGAGGAAGACCTCCATTGTTGACCTCTAACCTCCAAGTGCACACACACACATGTGCACCAACACCAACACTGACATATACACAGAGACAGACTCACCCGAAAACAACAGCAATGAAAAAAATCCTAAAACAGGTTCAAAGAGAAGGTTCAGGAAGTAAAAGAGCTTCTGTCAAGCCTGGTGACCTTATTTGATCTCCAGGACTCACATGGAGAGAAATGAGCTCTGCCAAGTTGTTCCTTGTCCTTCAAATGAACACGCATGAACATGCACACATGCATACACACACACAAAAATACATACATAAAATGTAATAAAAATAATTAAACCAAGACATAGTTAGGTATCCCCCATGGGAAATAAATGTTTAACAATCTGGCACAGAGCAGATGTAGAAGAGTCTGACCAATCTTGCTTCAGTGATTTTACTTTAACTGTATTTCCTAAATTTATAATTTTAAGTTTGGTGGTAACATCTTTCTTTAGCAATGAATTTTAAGAAGCGTTTAATGAAAAATTAGTAATCAAATTGTAAGAAAGTTGGTGGTGACTATATAATTTGCACAAAATATTGACATTTACTATTCTATGAAGGTCAGAATGATGTCACATATGGAAGGAAAGTCAAAGGAAAGCAACTTGCTCAAAGGCAGTCACTGAGCATAATTTTTGGCAAACGGTGCATTTCTTTAACTCATTACTCTGTAGAACACAACTTTTCATTTAAACCATGACTCTTCCCAGTTAGTTCTACCTACACTCTTGTGCAGATGAAAAAGCAAATCAGCTTATGTGTTGGCTTCAATAGCAGGAAAACCTTACAAACCACTAGAAGACATCTGTTTTACATCAGTGCCATCTGGCACTCATGTTGACAATGTAAGAGTTGGTGGAACATAACGATGATCTTCTGCTGGGTGTGGTGAAAGAAAAAATCAGGAGTTTATGGTCATTCTCAGCTACATGATGAGCTGGGCTATATGAAACCTTATCCCAAAACAGTAACAATGTTCTTCTTTCTTTCTTCCTTTTTTATTTTTTTCCAGACAGGGTTTCTCTGTGTAACAGTCCTGGCTGTCCTGGAACTCACTTTGTAGACCAGGCTGGCCTTGAACTCAGAGATCTGGCTCTGTCTCCCAAGTGCTAGGATAAAACGCCTGTGCCACCACTGCCTGGCTACTAACAATGTTCTTATTGAGCTATAAAATACAAAGTACAAATTTATTAGATACTTCTGGTACATAGCAATACAAATAAAGAACTGAGATGTTCTGCTAATCACTTATAATTCAGTTATACAACTTATAAATACCCTTATATAACCACAATTAAATAACCACTCCATGTAGAGTGTGACAGGTTGATGCTGAATATAAAATTCACCATGGAGCTGAGATTGCCCATTGGTTAAGTAAGTATGAGGAGTTCAGTTCCCAGCACCCACACCAGGCAGCTCACAACTGCCTACAACTCCAGTTTCAGAGGTCTTCTGACCTCTTCAGGCACCAGACATGCATGCGGTGCACATACATAAATGCAGGCAAAAGAAACACACATACATCTAAAAACAAAGTAAAACTCATCATGAGAGTAGTATTATCTTTGGTACTTTAGAAAATTTGAGGGTACTGAAGAACTTCTACAATGTCATTCATTCATTCGGGTTTTTGTTTTTAAAGATAGGGTCTCACTATAAAGCCCTGGCTAGCCTGGAACTCACTATGTAGAGCAGGCTAGCCTTGAACTCACCAAGATCCACCAGCTTCTATCTCTTGGGACTAAAGGTGTCCATCACCATACCAGCCTATTCTTTTTCTTTCTTTTTTTTCTAAACATATAATTCCTTTTTTTTTTTTTTTTTAAAGATTTACTTATTTATTATGCATACAATGTTCTGCCTTCATGTGTCCTTGTAGGCCAGAAGAGGGCACCAGATTTCATTATGGGTGGTTGTGAGCCACCTTGTGGTTGCTGGGAATTAACTCAGGATCTCTAGAAGAGCAGTTAGCTCTCTTAACCACTGAGCCACCTCTCCAGCCCTCAGTCTATCTAAAAGAGTTTTCTTATACATGCTTTTTCAATTGTTTCTCTCTCTCTCCCCCATAGTATTCTGACAAACCAAGAAAAAGTATTGGAAAGAATCATTTAGCTGGGCGGTGGTGGTGTACACCTTTAATCCCAGCACTTGGGAGGCAGAGGCAGACAGATCTCTGTGAGTTCAAGGCCAGCCTGGTCTACAAAGTGAGTTCCAGGACAACCACGGACTGTTACACTGAGAAACCCTGTCCGAATGCCTCCCCTCCCCCAAAGAAAAGAAGAGAAAAGAAAAAAAAAAAGAAGAGAAAAGAAAATAATCATTTACTGGACTTTTAACTTCCCACCAGGCAGACACGGGTCATCCAATGATTAGCCAGTTGATTTCCAATGAAGGACAGACTCCCAAAATTAGGACCGGAATGTGGTCCTCAATACTTTCAAGTTTATTTATTATGAGCACACTCCTTGTGCTGGTTAGTTTTCTGTCAACTTGACACAAACTAGAATCATCAGAGAGGAGAGAGCCTCACCTGAGAAAATGCCTTCCAAGCCTTTAGGGCATTTTCTTAACTGATGATGATGGTGGAGGGCCCAGCCCATAAACCCTTTCCTCCCCAACTTTGGGTAATGGTGCTTCATTCGCAGCAATGATAACCCTAACTAAGACACTACTACTCTTTGTTTTTAAAAAATATTTTATTACATTTTGTTTTGTGGGTGTGTACATGTGCATAGGAGTTGGTTCTCTCTCCACCACATATATAGGTTCTGGAGATAAAACTCAGGTCCTCAGGCATGGCAGCAGGTGCTGGTTACCTGCTACATCACCTCAAAAGTCCAAACATACTACTCTAAAGATTAGGGAAAAAAGTTCCCCAAAGACAAGATTAGGAGTTAAATAAAAGGACTATCCCCAGCAAAGCCTGAAATCACCCTACCTGGGCTCGCTCCTCATCAAACTCCAGGCAACCCATACCATCCAATCTGTGGAGATCAATCCAGCCCTTCCAGATAACACATACTCCATTCAGAATCATGGGCGCCTTCAAGTATACCTAAACAAAACAACAAAAAACCATAAGAAAGACAGTTGAAAACCAACGAAAAGTCATCAGACCTGAATTTTCTTCCCTAAGAATTCTTTTAATTTAAAAAAAATGTTTAATATATATGGATTTTTTTTTTCTTTCGAGACAGGGTTTCTCTGTAGCTTTGGAGCCTGTCCTGGACTAGCTCTGTAAACCAGGCTGGCCTCGAACTCAGAGATCCACCTGCCTCTGCCTCCCGAGTGCTGAGATTACAGGTGTGCCCCCCATCAGTGCCCGGCTGGATGTTTTACTACATGTACATCTACACACCAGAAGAGGGCATTGGATCCCACAGGACTATAGTTTTGTTTTGTTTTTTGTTTGTTTGTTTTTTTCCGAGACAGGGTTTCTCTGTGTAGTTTTGATGCCTATCCTGGATCTCGCTCTGTAGACCAGGCTGGTCTCGAACTCACAGAGATCTGCCTGGCTCTGCCTCCCGAGTGCTGGGATTAAAGGCATGTATCACTGCTGCCCGGCCCATAGGACTATAGTTATAGACGGTTGTGAGCTCCCATTTGGGTGCTGGAAATTGAATTCATGACCCCTGGAAGAGCAGCCACGGTGTTCTCAATAGCTAAGCTATCTCTTTAGCCCTAGACACGATTTGTGTGTGTGTGTGTATGAGTGTTTTGCCTCCATGTATATCTGTGCACTTCATGCATGCAGTGTCCATAGAGGCCAGGAAAGGGTGCTGGATCCCTAGAGCTGGAGTTACAGATAGTTGTGAGCCACCATGTTGGTGTTGGAAATCAAACCTGGGTCCTCTGAAAGAACTGCCAGTTTTCTTAACTGCCGAACTATCTTTGCAGGCCCCAGATATGAAAATTTAAAGGATTAAGCTTACTTGTCAATCTTGCAGTTTTCTTTTTGAGAACATATGATGGTAAAATTAAGAATTATAGGAAAAGAGTATCTATCTATCTATCTATCTATCTATCTATCTAATTTTTAAAAATCTTTTTTTGAGAAAGGGTCTTACTATGTAACCCTGGCAATCCTGGAACTCACTATGTAGATCAGACTGGCCTTGAATTCACAGAGATCCTCCAGTCTCTGCCTCCCGAGTGCATTACCATGCCTGGCCTGGGAAGTACATATATAAACCTTAGACTTTGGTTTCATTCAGTAAATTTTTTCTTTTTGTGATGTCAGAGATTAAACCCAGGGCCCTGCATGTGATAGAGCTATATCTCTCTAGTCCTTAGAATTTTATTTCCAGTTACAATTCTTCTAGACTACTTTAAAAAGAAAATTTCCCAGGATTTGTGAAAGGACTGGGAAATAGCTCAGGTTTCCCCAGCATGTGCAAGGTCCCGAGTTTTATCCATTGTATCACCTACTGGAGAGAGGGTAGAGAATGTGTAAAAGTGTAGGTAATTTTTTTTTTTTTGAGACAGGGTTTCTCTGTGTAGCTTTTTGGCTGTCATGGAACTCATTGAGATCTGCCTGCCTCTGCCTCCCAAGTCCCAGTATTAATTCTTTTTTTTCTTTTTTTTTGTTTTTCTTTTTTTTTGGTTTTTTCGAGGCAGGGTTTCGCTGTGTAGCTTTGCGCCTTTCCTGGAACTCACTTGGTAGTCCAGGCTGGCCTTGAACTCACAGAGATCCGCCTGGCTCTGCCTCCCGAGTGCTGGGATTAAAGGCGTGCGCCACCACCGCCCGGCTCCAGTATTAATTCTTAATTAGTGGGAATGTGAACTCCTCCCACAAAATTATTTCCAGTAAGATAAAGAGAGCTCTTATAACACACTAATACACATTTCTGCTTGTATGTTAGAAAATTACCCAAAAGAAATACTCTGGGATGTTGTAACATCTTAAGTCACTGAAAAATTTAAAATATGTAACCCACTCTATGCTTTAAGTTAAAAAAGGTATCAATAAATGCTATTTCAAATTTGCTGAGTTCAAAATTATTCACCTCATAAACTTTTAGTACTATCAGAAAATTCCAACATCCTTACACGCTGAGGTGACTTGAATTTTTACAGTTTTATATATTTTTCTCTAAAGATAACCAATACAGTCACCAAAAGTTTTCAAGTAAATAACACTAGAGCAAAAGTCACTTTAGGTAGAATTTCCAGACTGAGATTTCCAATTACCACATTAATTCTCACATTGGCTGATTTTTCTCAAGAATAAGGATCCAAGTAGAAAAGACGGTTGCTACTACTACTCAAGACACAGATATGAAGCAAGAGAGAAATTTATCATAGTTCCTACAATCTTCTCTGCCCTAATGTCAAGCTGCTATGGATCTCAGGATGACTTTGAACTCAGAATGATTCTGCTTCTACCTTAAACTCTGAGACTACAGTCAAGAGTCACCATATCTACCAGGCTTGGTGGTGCCTCCCAGCACTCTAGAGGCAGGCACAGGTGGATCTCTGTAAGTTCAAGGCCAGCATGGTCTCAAAAAAACAAAACAAAACAAAAAACAAACTAAGGAGGGAGAAGGGAACAGGAAAAATGATGTGATTATATTATAATCTCAAAAACTAATAATTAAAATAAAAATAATAATTAACAGTTCTTTCAGGTTTTGAGAGAGAACTTCATGTAGCCCAGCTGGCCTTGAACTGATCCTCCTGCAACTACCTCTCAAGTACTGGGATTAGAGCCCTATGTCCACCATACCTGGCTATTTAAAAAATTCTTTTTTTCGGGATTGGGGATTTAGCTCAGTGGTAGAGCGCTTTCCTAGCAAGCTCAAGGCCCTGGGTTCAATCCTCAGCTCCAAAAAAAAAAAAATTTTTTTTCTTTTTATCTTTTCTACCTCACTTAACACAGGCTTCTGAATGACAATCAGCATAAATTTAAATCATTCACTGCCTTGAAAAGCTATCTGAAATTCAGAGGACATAGAACTTCAGTGAATTTTCAAAACTCCAAATAATCATCTTCATTAGTGAGATTTTCATCTACATACATAAAATATGTCTCATCGGACCAGTCTAGCGTTTTATGAACAAAACTGGCATTTTTATTACTTACATGACAGAAAAGTGGTAGGAGTTTCTCATTTTAAGAGAAAAACCTGGCACACCTTTAATTGCAGCACTCAGGAGGCAGAGGCAGGTGGATCTCTGTGAGTTCAAGGCCAGCCTGGTCTACAGAGTGAGTACCAGGGCAGCCAGAGCTACACAGAGAAACTCTGTCTGGAGAGAACAAAGTGGGAGGGGGGAGAAAAGCTGAAAAGCTGGAAGCATCCTTTTATCTTTATTCAATTTAGCAGTCTCCTGAGCAAAGTTTGGATTCTTGTTTTCAGAGATACTTAATAATGTCAGTTTATAAATGACAGAAAAGCTAGAAAAACCAAATAAATAAATGGTAGAAAAGTTATTCCTCAGGTACCTGTATAAACATAAATCTACAGGATTTATGCCTTTATGCTATATATGTATGTTTTTCTCCTTATGCTAAGAACAACCTTTTTTTTTTTTTTTTTTTTTTTTTGGTTTTTTTTCAAGACAGGGTTTCTCTGTGTAGTTTTGGTGCCTGTCCTGGATCTCGCTCTGTAGACCAGGCTGGCCTAGAACTCAGAGATCTGCCTGATTCTGCCTCCCGAGCACTAGGATTAAAGGCATTTGCCACTGCCACCTGGCTAAGAACAACCTTTTTAAAAACCAAGGTTTCAATAAACCACACTGAACCAATTTCTACTTTATAAGAAGACTCTCCAAAACCATAAGGTTCTATTTTTCCTCCCATTTGAGCAAGGGAAACAGTCTACAGTTATAGTTAAAAACCGTTTAACCACACATTTCCTTTTGTTCTGATAAGTGTTCATTCCTTTCCACATTATAAATGTATTTATTTATCCTTTTTTGAGACAGAGTGTCATGAAACACACCCTGGCCACTAAATTGATATGTAGCTGAGAGTGACCTTGAACTCTGGATCCTCCTGCTTTCATCTTCCTTGTGCTGGTAATCACACCTACTCACCACCAAGTCCAGCCACATTTACTCCATCAGTGTACACCTTAGTCAAGTGACTAAGTTGACTTTCCATTCAGGACCCCGGAGAAACCTAAGAACAACATAACTCTACATTTCACATCAAGAGAACTTGACTTACCACACCTCCAAAGAGTTATAGCACATGACAGAGAGTGTAACATTTCACTACCAAAGCCTCTATTATGCTAAATTCTGATACTGATCATGGGTAATTCTTCTCATGTAACTAACAGCCAAGAAAAGGTCAACTTCATGCTACCTTTAAACCAGATTTGTGTTATTCACAAATGGTTTATATCTTAGAATTGCAGATTCTACAATTTCTTAGTTTATTCATATTAACTAACATCCACGGTCAAAAGTATTTCCCTTATGAAATTCATTTTTTTAAAGCCCATCTTTTACTTCTTTATAAATCTTTCATGAAAAGGAGACCACCACCGATCTGTTTTGGGAAATTCCTAAATGGCTTTAGAAAATGGATACATTCATTCTGAAGAATAATGTCTGGACTCCTAATTTAAAATAACATCTAGATGATCCTGGTGATTTATTTAATGTTCACACTGAAATAAACAGTTTTATGTGTAATCTTCAAAGTAAATGTTTGGTGCTTTTATATATTCATGAATACTAGGCCTCAAAGTCTGAAGAAAATATACTGCTCTCTCTTAACAGCTGGTATTTTGTAATGTTAATTCAATAATGTCATTTAAACACAAAGACATTTATTTCACTGAAAATGATGCCTTATTTCAAACTTTGAAAAGAAAGGTTATTATATGTTCCAAAATGAAGCTCAATTGTCTTAAAAAAACCATGGTATAGAAATGGATTCCACAAAGTCTTAAAAACTAGTAAATAGATGCAGCCAATCACAGGAAGCAACAAAACAGCTTATCTTTCCAAAAGCTAAATACTACAGAATGAGACTTCACAGGTTTAAAAGTGACTATAGTCTCATTTTTTTTTTTTTTTGGTTTTTCGAGACAGGGTTTCTCTGTG